CTCACCCTCCTGTTGATGGGGCCCCCGGGAGGAGTGGCACAGGCAGTCCCGGGAGGCCGACCGTCTCTGACGGAGGCGCGCGTCTCCCCTGTCTCCCAGTTCCCAGCTCACTGCAGACCCACCACAACCTGGTGCCGTGTGTCGCCAAGGCTGCAGCCCTGATCCACACCTCAGCCACCACCTACGCCACGTACCTGGCTCCCCGCCTGCCGCTCGTCACGCCGAGGAACTTCCTGGACCTTCTGGACATCTTTGCCTGGCTCCTGGATCACTTGCGGGAGCAGAACTGCAAGCGGATGGACCAGTGAGTGTAGGGCTGCCCCTGTGAGACGCACCAGCCCCCGTGGGCGCGGGGTGGCCAGTGGTTCCACAGCACGCACAGCTTCAGGGCCCTGGACCCCAGCCCTGGGCCAGCCACAGTCCTCTCGGGACTCCCTCGGCCCCACCCGCCTCTCAAGGGGTGCCTCCTGTGGTGGGGAGAGGAAGGGAAGGAGGCCCGTGGGCCGCTCACAGGACACGTTGGCCCTTGAGCAGGAGGACATAGGTCCCGTGCAGGGCAGCGATGTGTAAGGCAGGCAAACCCCCCTGACTCCAGGGGCACTCTGGGACATTGTGGCTGAGGACCAGTGAGAGAGAGGCACACTCAGACCTTAGAACACGGGGAGTAAGCAGTGAAGGGGCTGAATCTGCGGATAATACGAAGTTGTTCAGGGTGGTGAAAACCAGTGAGGATTGTGAGGCACTCCAAAGGGATCTGTCAAGGATGGGCGAGTGGGCGTCAACGTGGCAAATGGGGTTCAATGTGGCCAAGTGCAAGGTGATGCACATTGGAGCCAAAAATCCTAAATATAAATACACATTGATGGGGTCCGAAGTGGCAGAGACTGACCAAGAGAGAGATCTTGGAGTCCTGGTAGATAACTCACTGAAAATGTCGAGACAGTGTGTGACTGCAATTAAAAAGGCCTATGCTATGCTGTGGATTATTAGGAAGGGGACTGAAAACAAATCAGCCAGTATCACCATGCCCCTGTATAAATCAATGGTGCAACCTCATTTGGAATACTGTGTGCAGTTCTGGTCACCACACTTTAAAAAAGATATTATAGCTTTGGAAAAAGTGCAGAAAAGTGCAACTCGAATGATAAAAGGGTTGGAACACTTTCCCTATGAGGAAAGGTTAAAGCGCTTACGGCTCTTTCGCTTGGAGAAACGACGACTGAGGGGTGACATGATCAAGGTTTATAAGATTATGCATGGGAAAGAGCAGGTGGGCTTGAAGCTCAACATCAAAAAAACTAAGATCATGGCATCCGGCCCCATCACTCCTTGGCAAATAGAAGGGGAAGTCGTGGAAGTAGTGACAGACTTCACGTTCCTGGGATCCCAGATCACCGCAGACTATGACAGCAGCCATGAAATTAAAAGACGCCTGCTCCTT